CTGGCCCCTTACTCCACAGCCTGCGCTAACCCTCTAGGCCAGCAGCCGCTAACCTTTCGGACCTCACGGACCACCAGTAGTAGTCCCAGACCACTGGTTGGCGACTGCTGCTCTAGGCTGTTCTGACGGGAACAAATCTCAAGTCCAGTTTTATTCAGCGGACTTCACTGCATCTGAAGCATGAAAGAATACTTGTTCTCAATACTAATGTGTGAGCCTCACTGGATTAATAATAGCAAGGAATCCGCTGCTATGCAGCACAGCCTGGTCTATTTTAAGACATCAGATATGATGGATTCCTAACAAGTGCTGAGAGGCAGAGGCAGCCCGCTTCAGCAAGAGCTGTTTGGGCTTCCTCCTGGTTGGTACCCAGTTTGCTTGTACATCCAGCCCCAGCATGTACCCTTTCACCTCCAAGCTGCTGCAGGAAGGGACCCATCACCGCCTTGCACATACGGGGTCAGATGGACAAAGTCGGCGCTCCCTCCACATACAGGGTAGATGGACAAAGTCGGCGCTCCCTGCACATACAGGGTAGATGGACAAAGTCGGCGCTCCCTGCACATACAGGGTAGATGGACAAAGTCGGCGCTCCCTGCACATACAGGGTAGATGGACAAAGTCGGCGCTCCCTGCACATACAGGGTAGATGGACAAAGTCGGCGCTCCCTGCACATACAGGGTAGATGGACAAAGTCGGCGCTCCCTGCACATACAGGGTAGATGGACAAAGTCGGCGCTCCCTGCACATACAGGGTAGATGGACAAAGTCGGCGCTCCCTGCACATACAGGGTAGATGGACAAAGTCGGCGCTCCCTGCACATACAGGGTAGATGGACAAAGTCGGCGCTCCCTGCACATACAGGGTAGATGGACAAAGTCGGCGCTCCCTGCACATACAGGGTAGATGGACAAAGTCGGCGCTCCCTGCACATACAGGGTAGATGGACAAAGTCGGCGCTCCCTGCACATACAGGGTAGATGGACAAAGTCGGCGCTCCCTGCACATACAGGGTAGATGGACAAAGTCGGCGCTCCCTGCACATACAGGGTAGATGGACAAAGTCGGCGCTCCCTGCACATACAGGGTAGATGGACAAAGTCGGCGCTCCCTGCACATACAGGGTAGATGGACAAAGTCGGCGCTCCCTGCACATACAGGGTAGATGGACAAAGTCGGCGCTCCCTGCACATACAGGGTAGATGGACAAAGTCGGCGCTCCCTGCACATACAGGGTAGATGGACAAAGTCGGCGCTCCCTGCACATACAGGGTAGATGGA